CCTTTGCACTCGCGGTGCAGCCACTTCACGTACTACTTTTAGGCTGCAGGCATACTCGCGCGAGAGACTTCAGAACTTTTAAGAGGCGTACACGCGGCCGGATACACGGACTAGTTGCCGTACGAATCTCCGTGTAACTCGAGAAACCCGGCTCTCGGTTGACGTATCTCGGAACTTCAGTGATATCGAACGCGATAGATGAAAGGAAAGAGAAACGCGGGGAAGAGAGCGTACAGTTCGTTCCACGCGAAACGGATCAGCTGATTGCTTTCTCATTTGTTTCCCCTTCGAACGGAACAATGCGAACGAGTTGTAACTTGCGAGGGAAACGTTGATACAAGAATTTATAGGGTTGCTCCAGGCGAAACGGATCAGTCGGTTATTTTCACATTTGTCTCCTGCTCGGAAGTAAAACAGAGAGGAGGTAGGATTTGAGAAAGAGAAACAGTAGGACACGCCGAAGATGTTTTCATTCGAAATCCTTTAATTAGCGAGACGCCGTCCTCGGGATTCTCGGATGTGCTCACTCTTTAATTGCTTTTCTCCGATCGTTCCCGGCTCTCCTCGCCGTTCTCGAAAGACGCTCCAATGAAATCACTCTTAATTGGGATCCGCGGGGCCGCTCGCGATGAACTAGATCCGCGAGAAAGTTTTTTTTCCGTTCTCGCCCGGTTTAATTGGTTGTTTGGGTCGCTGCAGCTACAGGTGGAGTGCACGTATTTACCCAATGAAACGAAAACACGGCGCATTGTGTACACCTCGCACACCGAACGGTATATCAGACGTGGAATTTCGGAATCTAATTCCGATGAATTCAATTCTATTTTTCAGCCGGGCGACCGTCTAACCGGCCCTCGGTTTATACGTTCCGCGCGTGTTGCGTCAAACGGTCCGCGTCCGGGGTCCAAATGAGCACACCGATAAGAGATACGTGTATGAAGATACGGTACACAGAGATGAGAAAATAATCCTTAATTGAATCCGACCGGGTAATAAGATTGCGCGGCGGATCAACGAAAATTAGGAAAACATTTCGAAAAGCTACTCCCCCGTATAAAGACTAATGAGAGTCTATTTCGTTCCGCGAATTTCGAGCATCAACCGTCTCCTCCGGCGAAGCCGGTGACCGCCGAGCTGTTTAATTATCAGGGGCCCGGCACGAGAAGCCGTTTATTTAATTCTCTGTGGCAAGGAATGCCATTAAAGCCGGGCTAACGCTAGCTTTTTCAATTTTTTAATTAACCCGCCGCGCCGCGCTGAATCGGTTCGCGCGCGCTGTTTGCCGTGCTATTTGCGCGCCGCTCCGAATCGCCAATATGCGCTGATTAACGAGATACCGCCGATTTACACTCATTAGCGAAAATTATCAATTTTCGGGTGATTTAGACCCGGCCGTTTCTGCGGCCGCTGACGTCGCGCGGCCGCCGCTTTAATCCGCGTTGCCAAGCCGCGACCGGTGCGCGGCTTCGTATCAAAAATTCTATTTAAATGCAACACGCACGGCGATCCGTGAGATTCAATGTCGGCGCGATATCGCGATGATTCAACGTTCGACCCCCGGACGATGTACGTCGGTCGCGTTGCTGTTTCGGAAACTAACAAATATTGCAAGATCGTTTCGGAATGGAAACCTCGTTCCAATCCCTTCGTTTTTTCCTGTAATTTAACTGTAACCTCGTTCTTCGAGCACGCAATAGCAACTTCCACGTTGAACGTTGAAATATCCCGCGCCAAGATCCCCGAAACCATCTAAATATTCGCTATTTCGTCATACTTACGTTCTTTCCGCGATATTCAACGAAATAACTTTCTCATCCCCCAGCGTCGACAACGAAAGCCACCGATATCCGTTTCCGAAAGACGTCCCATAACAACTAATCTTCGCGACGACCGGTCGCGTCGAACGGACCGCGTATGAAAGCTCGAGCGACGTCGGTGCACCATACGAAAGACATTACCCGGCCATTGTTTGCCGTTCCTATATTTCATCGGAGGCGCGCGGGGCGGCCGGCAGACGCCGGTCTGTATCGCGGCGGATGAAATGATACGTAAAATGGCGCTTACTCAGGCTGAATCCGGAATCCTTCACGTGGATGACCACCATCGGCATCAGTACCATCACGACGAGGTTTACGACGTGGAACACCATTCCTGGACCGTGAGCTATGATATCCTGCGGCACAAAATAGAGAGGTACAAGTTACGAGCGGAAGTTGCCTCGCGGAGACCGCGGGGAATATCACCGCGCGCGCGAGAGAGGAGGGTCGACGGTGGAACGGGGCAAAATCGTCGTTCCTCTCCCTCGTCTCGCGATTCGAAAGGGAGCGGAAGAGGGAGCGCGATTTTAGAACCCCGCCGGAGCTTCTCAAAATACGAAGGTTGAAATCCAGTCCGCGGAACTACCCGAAACTCGTTTATTATCCATGGCGGAGGCTCGATATACATAGCCGGCCGCGTCCGTTGCAAAATTCAATGCAACACGGGACGGTTCTTGCCGAGGCGTGGGCGGATCGGTTGTTTAAATATCGTGCGCGAACCGCGGCCGAATTAACAGGTAATTTATGAAGCAAGTCGCTCACGAGTGCGTCAGTCAATCGTGTTTTGCTCGATGCGGCTGCAAACTTTGGGTTTGCGTATAGGCAACGCGCTAATTCATTCGAAATTTCGGAAATGTACTAGAGGAATTTAATTATCGCTAATGTCAGCATTTTCCGACGGCGAACTCGGAGGCGACGAATCTGTAATGGTGCCTTTATTTTTAATTATTTCGACTCTATTTTGATCACCGTTGCGTTATACGATCGAAAAACAAAGTGCAGGAGAAACTTGTGCCACCTAATTCCGTTTATACAGTAAACTAGACTCTTCCGCACAGCCCGTATCCAATGTTATCGTCGCCGAGCGGTCGGACGATCCGGACGCGCGGAGATACGGCGCATCCGGCGGCCGGTATTCGATAAAATTATAAATACGCGCGCCGGGTGAATGTTAATTATTTGAACACTGCGTTCAGCGGGGTTTAATAAACCTCCGCGTGCCTCGGCGCGATTCCTCGCGATACGACGAGAAAGCAAAGCTCCCATGAAACATTTTCATTTGATATAAAATATGCCGGGGCACGGCACGGCGCGTCGCGTCGCGTCGCGTCGCGTCGCGCCGCGGCAGCGCGCCGTGTTAAATTTTCCGCCGCGGCGGTCTTAGCATTCGCTTTGTTCAATGTTTGTCCGCGGTCGGAATGTTGAACAGTGGAAAAAAGGCAGCGGATGAAAGGGCGGGGACGCGGAGAAAGTGGGGGATGCTGTTCATTACACATTTAGTATTTACGCGGCCACAAAATTCTCAAAGCGGACGAGGACGCTGAAAATTCCGCGTCGAGGTTCGAGCAAAGCCTTCCGCCGCGCTCCCGTGTATGTCAACCGGCGACGGAGTCGAGCTTCTGATGGACGCGGTTTCACAATCACCTTGTCCTTTCCCCATGAAAAAGGGAACAGGACTCCCAGCTGTTGCGCATCGGGCTTTTCGCCGAGAATTTCTACAGAGCCGCTTTCTTTCTAATTAAATTGAAACGCGGATGCGAACTGTCGCTCGGTGAATATTAGCTTTTGATTCGGAGAGTGCGAGAATAGGCGAAAAGGATTTATCTCCCGATGTTTTCTTGGCTACTCGATGTTTGTCGCTTGTTTATGATTTTTTAGATAAGGAGGTATTGATAGAGTTCGATAATTTCAGGATTCTATAGGTTGATGTATACGTATAACCGTTGTTGAAATCATGGAACGATCTTCGACTCTTCGCCTCGCACTCGGGATATCTACCCAAATTTACTGAACGTCAATATTATCGCTGCTCGTAGGATCCGATGTAATGTTGTTTTATTAATATCAATGTTTAGTCTTGATAACGCGTGTGCATCTGCAAGAATGTTGTCCTGGTAACCGTGGTAGAAGGATAGTGTGAGGTTTCACAGCGTAGACGTGAAAAAACTCGTAAAGAAAGGCGTTAGTATGGTCGTTGCGTATAATGTATAAAAGTAGCACTCAGCATTTAATTCGGAATCCGTGTACACATGTCGACACTACTCACGGAGGATCATCCGATGGGCGTGTAAACATGTCCATAGCTAATATACGTTCATAGTTAAAGTGCACTCTCTGCGACTGAATTCATATTAGTCCATAAGCTGCAACAACGTTCGCTGAAACTACACTGAGTCCATTGTAGCGTGCACAGCTCGTTACTGACGTACAACGTCGTACAATTCAACGGACGCCGCTCGTGTGACCGGTTCCATTAATCCCGAAGTCGTGTTGTAGCAAACGCGCAGTTACATTATCTGATTGTTACCATTTGTGTTGATCCGTGAGTTGTTATTTATATACATATAAGAGGATATTGGATGCACCGGAATCTCCGATTAATTTCGAATACTCGAAGACAGAGGCACCTTTAGCGGAACTGTGCACTGCGAAATCAAACGTTAACCCTTTGCACTCGGAAGCTTTTCACTGGAAACATTCGATGCTTTCCGATGAGACATGGACGATACTATTTGAAACGAACTAATGAACAAACGTACGTCAATTAAGAAACAAAGCTGTTTTATATAAATATTTCAACTTTGTTATATCAAATCAAACGGTGACTGAGAGTCACCTCTCGAGTGCAAAGAGTTAATAAAGAATACGAATCGTTTAAATTCCAATTGGAATAATCTGAATACTAAATTGAAATGAAACGCTCGGAATTTTTGGAATGCTTGAAACTCAACGCCATGGAGAAGGAAACTGGAAACGTTTGATTCTCGAATTTCTCAGTTCTAATATTCCGGATCGTCTCTCGGTAGAACCATCTATTCCATCGATGGACAAAATAGCAAATTGGCGAGGGACGATACCGAATACGCGGACCAATCATCGCAGCTGGACTTCGAGGCCGTTATTCACATTTCATTAAGCCGTAATCGACGTCACATGAGAGCTTGTCTGATCACGGCCCTTGGATTGTGGATCTTTCGAATTCCACGAGTCCCGGTGAAACGATCGACGTGCACCGTGTGTCAGCGTGACGGGGGCTGAAAGGACGTTCGTCCAGTCCGCAACTAAACCGACGACGGCCGGTACACCGGAGCAAATATTTACGAAGCGCTTGACCCAATTACGCGGGACAAAAGAATACCATGAATTTCAAGCGAAGTCCGGCAAATTGCACAACTGAAACATTCAAGCTATCCAGCTAGCTCGCGCACGCACGCTCCACGCGCAACCATTGTTACAGGTCTCGTCTTCACGGCGGTGGAACGAGAAGCGTCGAAACCAGCTGTTACGTCAAAATTCCAAGTTTCTTTTCGAAAAAAATATCTATTCTACTTGACGCATTCGTTTGGAAATAGCATGAGCTAAACACGATAGCGAATCCTCAGATAGAATCACCGAATTTTTTAGGAAACAGATAAATCTACGTCGAACAGTCAATCGACTCTCGTTCTTCAAACATTCGAGAATCAATTCTCCCGAGGAAACTCTCTTGCCGACAATCGCGTGCAATTTGTTCGCAAACTGTCAGCTAATCGCGAACACTATCGAAAGTCCACAGTCATTCGCTCCACAGTGCGAAGTCAGTTGGCCAAGTTAGCAAACAAGTTTCACATCCGACGCACCAAACAATCGCATACAGGTTCATTTGGTAAGTACCTCGCAAACCCGTGCCTCCGAACAATCCGCGAACGTCCCAATCTTCGTTGAAGCCAGCCTCATCGATTACAGTGCCGCGCGTAGCCACTTGGTCTATTTAATTAGCAAATTTCCCAAGATTAATTCGTCAAGCCCGAGCCAGCGTCCTCGCGACTGCGCGACGCAGCTTGCGGTGCTTCGAGCCGGATCAGCGGCGCGCAGTTTTCGGCCCCTCGAGCCGAGAACCCGGCACACGAGGAAAGCATAATAATACCTTGCCGGGTCGCTTTGATCGCGGCGAGCGCGTGCACGCCGCGAAAAGGCGCCGGCAGGGAATGGAATTCCGGCTGATGGAATTAACAGGACATGTTAATCGAGACAAATGGATCTATCGGAGTAATCAGCGAAGGGTAAAAGCCGGGCTAATACTCGACCGTAAAACCGTGACATTACTTACGACGCGTCCGCCGCCACTCTCGCCGTTAATAAAATGCGGCCATTTGCATTTTAATTAATAGGACGCTTCGATC